AGATGATTGTTTCTGCTACAGTGTTCAGATCTCTACTCAAGGATAATTGCTCTTATAGCGGGGGGATCCTGCTAGTCTGCTGTTCCTAATATCCAAGGCTTGGGTTATATTTTTCTCTGCAAGAAAAGATACAGAAATACAAAATAAAGACATAGGTGCCAGAATTTTGTCCTGCTTTGGTTGTCTTATGGGTCCAAATGAGAAATGAATTTTTTTTTAAGAAAATAAGTTTCTAAGTCCCTGTTTATTAGGACTTAATCTCTGACAAATTGGTAGGATTTTTTTTTTGTAGCCCCAGCTGGCCTGGACCCTGCTATGTAGACCATACCCAGGGTGGCCTCCATCTCACAGCAATCAACCTACTAATGCTTTTTGAGTGACGGAATATAAAGCATGTGCCACCACTCCTGGAAAATTGTTTGAACTTTTAGATATTTCAAAAATATCTCTAGGACTTTTGACATGTTTTGACCATGTTTCAGATATAGTTTCCTGGGTTTACATTGAAATACGAAGCTTTTTATTAAGAAGAAAGTGGTATTTTTATTTTTTTAAACAAAAAAAGAGGAAAAGGACTTTGAGTAAGAGGAAAAGACATGACGTTATTTTTATGGAAATGATTTTGGAAAATAAGGTGTTTTAAAAAGGAAACACTTAGATTAAAAGGGTTTTATATGATACTGCATTTACAGCTGGCATGTCCAACCCTATGACCCATCTTTTAAAACCTTAAAGACTAGGTTAGGGGTGCAACTCTGCTTAGAACACGTTTCTAGTGTCCATGAGGACCTGAGTTCCATTTCTAGCACAACAAAAAAAACAAATGATCAAAAAATGAAAAACATTCAAAGATCATTCCTAAACTGCTTCCAATATAAATGCCTTCCATTTATTTCCAAACCAATGCAAAGTCATCTAGAAGGCATTTTTTGCTCATCCATGAGTCTATTTGACTTACATTCTCCATATTTTTATACAAATTTCCTCAATGAATCTGTAGGAAACTTCCTCCAAATTGAGCTCAGGCTCTTGCTTTTTAATTTACTATGTGGTCTTTTAAAGGGAAATTTTCCTATGAGTCATTTTTCTGCGTTGTAAAAAGGGATGGATCTATTGGGTATTTTCACCATAGTTGTGAAGATGAAATGATGGTCTGTACATAAAGCTCTCCCCACATTGGTAGATACAGGCCAGATGCACAGGCTTGTTTTATTCTGCTTCCTTTCCTCTTACAGGTCTTGGTGTTAAACCCACAGGCACTGTAATCAATCATCTCAGTGTTCTTTAACTAGTGACAATATATGATAGGGACCTTCAAGATCACCATAAAAATGTTACTCCAGTTGAAGCATGACAGAAAAATGGAAAGTTTGGGAGATATGGGAAAAGAAGGGAGGCCTTCACCCTGGAGTCTGAAGCCTTTCACCAACATAGAAGCAAAGAATTCTAGCACAATTAACAACTGCCTAAGAACTTCTTCCTTCACAGCTATAAACCTGCAGCTTTCCAGGAATCTCATCAGGAACCCCATTTAAAGGCAAAGGACATGTACTAAACTCTTCGTGCAACCATAATGACTCTTGATAAAGCTATTGCTTTATCAGATTATAGTTCCATCCAAGCTCACTTATCTGATGGAAAGAGAGACAAAAGGTTTCTTAGAAATTTTTCAATATACTCTGAGTGTCAGAAAAACGGTATATATGGCTAATGCTAAGGCAAATAATTGTGACTCTCCTGAGGAACCTGTACCTGCACTTAGGTATGTGTCGCTTTCTGTGACTCTTCCCCAGGAATTCACTTGGGTATGTCTCACTTGGGTATGCCTCACCTTCTGCAGCTCTCTTTTAGAGCTTCTCACACCCGTGTTGTCAGGCGTGCTCTTAGTCTCTTCTTGCTCCCCTTTCTTTCTCAATATTCTTAATAAAATCTCTAACTCTGCTTCATCATAACAGCTAGGACTGAAATTTCTCTTCCATGTGGAAGCCACAAATCCCAGTTTGGAATGAGTCATGGTCCCTAAAAGAGGAGAGGAACTCATCAGGCATCTGAAGATGACAGTGTGGAGCTCAGTCTCTGTCCCCTCACCTCTGACACTCCTTTTGTCCAAAACCTGGTTCTCAAGATAATCCATGCTCTTTGAGTAACTAAAGTCCTCTTACTTGCTCTCATTTTCTTTTTAAAAAATTATTTTATTGATTCTTTGAGGATTTCATGCAATGTGTTTTTAATTTTTTGTGTATTTTTATTGATTTTTGTGCATTTCATACAAATAGCTTAATAATCTTTATAGTCTCCTATCCATGCCCCCCATTCCCACCCCCAGATTTCATGCATTCTGTCATATATGTTAAGGCCTATTGAGTCAAGCTAGTGTACCCAGATGTCCCTCAGTGCAAGTTCATCTACTGGAGCTTAATCAGCCTGCCTAGAGTTTCTCCCTTAAAGAAGATCACCTCTCCTTCACCCAGCTGTAATCACCTGTCAGTAGTTCCTCAGCTAAGATTTGGGCCTGTTGCCCATTCCCCCAGTTCTCTACTGGGTTTTTGTCTGAGTTTGCGTGTGTCTTGTACATGATGACAAAATTGCTGTGAGTTCATAAGAGCAAGTTCCCAGGCACCTGGAGGACTCTTTCCTTATGATCATGCACCAACCCTGAGCCCTGGGTGGGTGAGGTTTAATATAAGAGCCCTATCCAGGAACATGCTCTCTGCAGTCTCTTATGCTTTGTACTTTGGCCAGTTCTGGCTTTCAGTGTCCATGATGCTCTTTTGCATGAGGAAGCTTTGCTGGTGACAGTTGAAAAATGCATTAGTAATCTTTCTATCTCATTCTGCTATGTTCGATGAGCTTCTTTGATGAGTGGTGACTAGTATACTTGTCTGTAAATATAAGAATCCACATTAAGCATACAGTACAAAATTACATTTTTCTAGGCATATGACAGAGGTAGCGTTTTCTCTAGAATCTATGACCTCTCCAGTCATGTGTATTTGGCTCTGTTTTCAGTGCCACCTATGAGCTATGTCCCACTGAGAGGGCTTCAAGTTCAATTAGATAGCCATTGATTACCCCCAAGATAAAAGTGCCACTACCTAACTGATATAATTTTCTGTGTCAGTCATTGTTGTGGTTATCAGGCTTTAAAGCTGGGGTTGGAACACTGATTGGGTTTCTCCCTTGTCAGCTTGTATAGTATCCTCCAGAGCTATGAGTGATCTCATTTTCTTTAATTCTATATTTTGTTTCCAATGTCCCTCATTAAGATATTCCTCCAACTCCATCACTCCTGTGCTTTTAAATTGTTTTACTTTAGAGGTTAAGGGTTTACTTTGGTGCTAA